GAGAGCCATGTTATTAGATTTACGTTGAATGTTCTTTATTTGTTCTTCTTAAATTAACAAAAACACTTTCAATTTTTCTAATATATGGTGGTCAAAACTAAAAAAACAAAATAACCCACATGAATTTTTTCATGTAATTTTCAAGAAAACCTAACCATGTAAATCTAAAATATCCTAAATTATGATTTAACTCTAAGATTTTTCATATTTAAAGCAAAAAATAGCTAAATTTTATGTTTCTTAAATCAAGAATTGCGGCAAGCCCTAAAAATTTCTTTTATTATGATTTTTGTTTGCTTTTTTAAAAAAAAAAACTTTTTTTTAATAAAGATTACAAATAACTTTTGTTTTTTTAACTTGATGTCGTAACTAAATTTTTAAAGAAAATAAAGAACTCAACAACAATGAAATATAACTTGATTTATAGCCTTACTCTGATACTAACTAATAGGAATCTCATTGATTCAAAGATCTAGAAACTCATAATCGAGATTGATCATGAATCCTTACAAAGCTAAGTTCAAGCTTTTAAATTAAGCTTGACACCATGATATCTTACGCCAAGTCATCAAGACTGCAATATTCAGACCCTGCCTAATAAATATATAGAATCACTAATGAGAAATATGAAAGATACTATGAAAATTGGTTAATTTTTTGACAAGTCAAGAGAAGTTCTTTGAAGAACTAAAGTAAGAAAAATTTCTCACAACACAATAATAATTACTAAAATCAAAGTTTGTAAAAAAAAAAAAATTCAAATACAATCTAAATACCTTTATTTATACTTGGTAAAAACATCTTTAAAAATACTGGAAAAATAACAAAAGAGTTTATATATAGAAAAAGAAATTATAAATTAACTAAGAAACTAATACAATTTTGCATAATAGCTTTTGAATCTTATCACAAGCCCTTTTTGATGTTTGATTGATATGAAATTTAACTCAGTAAAAACAAGGCCGTTGGAATCTTATGGTAAAGTTTCATCTTGATCTAAAGATCAAATTTAATATTATGCTTCTTAAAGTAACACTATGCATTTTAAAAAATAAGCATAGGACCACTGAAATTAATTAGCCCATGAAATAGATGGATTAAACCCTTTTTGTATATAAATTAAATTGATTAAGATCTGATTATTACTTATTAAAAACATAACCTTTTTAATATTCAAATTGGTCCAACTACTTGTAAAAACCCATTAAATGTATATTTAAACTTATTTACCATTGATCTTGTAATTAGCCTAATAGGATCTTGTAATGGATTTTTGATGTAGTCTTAAATGTATTTTTAATTTTCAATTAATTCAATATTAAGAAATGAAATCAAAAAAATAAATCAATTAGGAAAAGGGGAAAAACTTGAGTCAACCGAGTTACAAACTCGAGGTCTGGGTCATAATACTGATATAACCTCATAAAAAAATAAAAAATATTATGAAGCCCAACCATAGTAAATCTAATGTTGAGGGATAAAATTAAAATTAAAAAAATTGATCAAGAAAAGGATATAAAAAAATAACTTGAGTTAATTCATGCTAACTAGCAAAACCTATGACTTGAATTATAAGACAAAGATAACCTCATATAAAACAAATCAAAACAAATCATAAAACTTGATTTCCAATCAACTTAATGTTGAAGGTTGGAATTGAAAAATAAAATCAATCAAGAAGAGAAAAGAAAATTTCGAGTCAACCTAATTAACCCATCAAACCCACAGTTCATGTCACGAGACTAGAATAATCTCATAAAAATTAAATTGAAAAATATCATGAAGTTTAATTTCAATAAACCTAATACTGAAAGGAGTTAAAATTAAAAAAATTGATTAAAAAAGGACACAAAACAACGACTCAATTTAATTCGCTAAACTCGTGACTTTAGTCTTAAGATTGTGATAACATGATAGAAAACAGACCAAAATAAATCACAAAACTTAATTTCTAATCAGTCCAGTATTAAATGGTGAAATTGAAAAAAAAAATAATTAATAAAAAAAAACTCAAGTTAATCGAATTAACTCATTAAACTTTTGGTTTGGATCATAAGACAAGGATAATATCATAAAAAATAAATTAAAAAACTATGAAATTTAGTTATTAATAAAGAATAAAATTAAAATTAAAAAATGTTATTCTAATAAATAATATTTCATAGGAAGGTTACAGTCAACTCCTTTTTTTTTTTTTTGATGTTAACATAGGCAAAACCATTCTCATGTATCGATATACGATATAAGCTACCTAAGACCATTTCTTTTGATGTGTTCGTTTAACCACTTGACATGCGCCAACCTTTTATCTCATAATTCAAACTTCTAGACTAGCTAACGTGAAAAGAAGACAGGTGGTTGAGAAGAAAAGGCTAAAATACGCCATTCTCTCACTTGTAAAATGTCCCCCTTTTTTTTTTTTTGCGTGGAAGATGCACCTTTTCGTATGCAAATGGTGACAAGCGCAAGCATGTGAGTACTAACTAGCTAATGGACGAGATTTCATATTAAAATAATAAATATATAAAGATAATATTTTTTATTTTAAAAAATTTATATTTGAGTGTATCAAAATAATTTAAAATATAAAAAATAATAATTTAAAATAAAAAAGTGACAAAACAACGGCTCAAACCACTCAGCCTGGGTGTAAGCCTGTAAGGTGCCCCTCTCATTTTTGACGCCTCTCTCC